GGACACAATACAATGACCCTCTGATAGAAAACCAATCAGATTTGATTCTGTTCAGAAACGCAGCTACAGAAACACTGCTGTGTGTTTCAGTGGGCAGAGCTGTGGTCAGTCTGGGTGTGTGTGTTTGTGTGAATGTGCTGGTCAGTAAGTGTTGCTGTGAGTGTTTTTCAGTAAATCACTCCATTCAGTGTGTTTTTCCTGTATAAATTAAAGACGCTTCAGCTCTCAGAGCCCCAGCGTGATCAGCCACATCTCCCTGACCGTAGATCCGGCTGTGATGGTCATTATGAGCGATATTTGATGTCGGTGAAAAGCTCGTCTTGTTTTTGGCGCTAAAACACTGTTGTTCCGCCAATAAAAAGCAAGACTGATGTTTTTTCCCCGTTTCTGGTGGCAGAAAGTCAATTTTTTTGATTGTTTGACCTTTTAAAATCTTGAATAAATGTCAAAACAAAGTTTTTAAATAATCACTAATAATATTGAAACAGTTCCACTTTCTGAAAGTCGTTATTCTGGTGTGTTGAGTTTCCACACTGAGTTTAAAGCTGTACAGCTCAGATTAAACCCTGACGTTTGGAGCTCGTCAGACCTGCATGGAACATAATTTTACTCTGTTTATTTCGGTTTTTCAGTGAATCCTTCAGTAAATTTTCCACCTTAAATCCAGCTGTGAGTTTATTAGAGGAGCCTGTTAGCCTGTTAGCCTGTTAGCTTTAGAAAGAACAGCTTTCTGTATTTCTGAAAAGCTGAAATGAATCAGTTGATTCTTTTTAGGATTGTTGACTCTTTTTAAAGTGTTTATGATGCAGTTTAACTCTTTATTTCCTGATATGTATGTGTATGAATAATGTTCAGAAAAGAGGATAATAATGATTACAGTAATATTCTGCTGTCAGTGTTTAGTGTTTAAATATAAATGTACTGCATTTAAACTGTAGTTCAGTCATTACTGTAAACAAACATTACAGTATGAGTGCTGTAAATATTAATGACAGTAAATACCTGAAAGCTCTGCTGCCAGTGAGTTACTGTACATTTAAAGAGGGATTTGTTTTACAGTGTTTGATTAAATTCATGATGTATTTTTATTTCTGTGTAAATTATATGTGTGTATTTCTTCTTCAGCTCCTGTAACTCTGGACCCCAACACTGCTCACCCTAATCTCATCCTGTCTGATGATCTGACCAGTCTGAGAGTCACTAAAGAGAAACAGCAGCTTCCTGATAATCCAGAGAGATTTGATAAAGCTGTATATGTTCTGGGCTCTGAGGGCTTCAACTCAGGAACTCACTGCTGGGATGTTGAAGTTGGAGACAGTGAAGACTGGGTACTGGGTGTGATGACAGAGTCGGCTCAGAAGAAGGGGTGGATATTCTACAGGAGAGGAGTTTGGCGTGTGTGGTATAATGGTGTTAAATATGGAGCCGGTTCTTCACCACAGCCACTCACTCTCCTCTCAGTAGGTCAGACAGTGCAGAGGGTCCGAGTGCAGCTGGACTGGGACAGAGGAAAACTCTCATTCTCTGATCCTCTCACTAAAACACACTTACACACTTTTACACACACATTCACTGAGAGAGTGTTTCCACTGTTCTGTACTGGTGAAATCAGTCCTGTGAAAATCTCAGCAGTGCAGTTTAGTGTATCAGTGAATCAGCTCAGTTAGAGCTCATTCAGTCTTTGTGTGGATCAGCACTGAAACACTGATTAATACTGAAATGATCTGCAGTTATAAGAGCTGTTCAGTCACTGCAGCTCAGATCATCTGAGAATCTTACTGAGCTGCTTAAACACATTTGTAGAAGGTTTATCTGCATTTTTAAACAATAATGGAAACCACAAAGTAGCTCAGTCTGACATATCACTGCATACGGTACATTATTAATGCTTAGAATGTATAAAAATGGAACATAATAAAACGTAATAATGTAACATTTGAAAATATTTATGGATTATTGTACCAAATTAATCCAACGTCAGAGCTGAAAACACAGTTAACTGACTTGGGCCTTAGACTAAAGTCCTTTTGCTCTGAGTGACCCTGTAGCTTAATTATGCTTATTTTATTCAAATAAATGATTTAATATTCCACTTTGTCACTACCAAAATAATCAGAACACTGCAGAAACTTTACCAAATGTTTCAGTGACATTTTAAGCTGAACTCAAAAACTCAGCAGTTCATGACCAGCAAACACAGCTTTGAACAGCTGTGCACACAGAAAATCATCATATTTTACATTAAAACACTAAAAAGTTTACTAAACTGAAAATCTGTGTTTCATTAGTGACGATTCTTAATGTTCCTCACTGATTTTCAGACTTTGGGACACATTTACTCCAAAACAATGGGATCTAACTGCTCACCATGTGGCCATGAGGGACAGGGATGCAGCCTTACTTCCTGCTTCAAAATACAGGGGTGTGGCTAGGCTCCACCTACAAATTAAAGCTCTCCGTGTTTCTGTGGGACCACATTTTTTAAATATTTTTTTTTAATTAAAATTAAACTCATAATAAATGTGAATCTTCATTCTTTCTAAAAGTTTGCTTTAAAAGAAAGACTTTTAAAAACATTGAAAAAATAGTAGTATTATTAATTATTAAATTAATATTAAATATTATTAGTAATTATTAAATATTATTTTAATAATCTTATTATAAATAGTCATGTGTGGTTTGGGAGGCACTTCTGTGCTTCACATACTACACTAATGAGTGCACTTCCAGTGGTGGGGCACAATTTTTACACTGTTATTAGTGCTGTAGTTTGTGGTTTGGAACGCAGCCCGAGTGTCTGAAGTATCAGCTAAAAGCAGCAGGTAAAAACAGTTTGGACATCAGAACTTTACTCTGTGTTTGGTTTTATAAAGATCCTCTGACAAGGCAGATTAATATTATATAACCAGTTCTATTTTATTGCTAAATTCCATATTCATAAATGTAAATATGCAGAACAAAAGGCTGTTCTAAACTTATTTTCTTACGAAGCCAAACAATTCTTGAGCACAATTGCTGGTTCTAGCATTAAAAACACTGTCAGAACACTGGAATTAGGTCCTTTGATATTCCTGTATAATGTGTCTGTCTGGTGATGATCTGAGCTGTTTGTGTTTTTCTGTTTTGTTTTCTTTTATTGTTGGTGTCTCTGATTGACGCTGTCATCATATTTGTATGTTCATATTCTAATTGAATAATAAAGATCAGTGGGTGTTTGAGTGGATCAGGCTGCTGCTTTAAAGCTGTTTAATGGACTCATCCAAACTCTGCTGCCCTCCAGTGACCATTTTCAGATTAAACAGGTTTCACTCAGCAGCATATTAAACATTCAGAACTCGTCCAAAAGGGGGCGCTATTAGTTTTGAGAGATAAAGGGTCTGACTGACCGTCTCACTTTGTTTAACTGGGATGTCCAGAGGGGCCAAGCTTCACGCTATGGTGGCACTGCCCCCCCGCTACCCCTTTGGCTCCACCGCTGAGTAACAACCCTTTCATCTGACAGTAAATGTGGACGGTTTCCTTCCTCCAGTGACGAAATCCCATCACTGGAGATGCAGGTGTGAACGGCTACACGGCTCACTGTCCACTTACGGTCAGATCACTCGAGATGGGCGTTCATACCGAGTGTGAACAGAGACTAATAGTGTTGCTGACAAAGCAAAGAATGAAATTAAGACATTAATGTCAATATAAGATCAACGGCCACTTTATTAGAAACCCATTAGTACCCCTACTAGTAGAGTAAAAGGGCAATTCCACTGATTTTTCAAAATAGACATTTTATTTACTATCCAGAACCACCAGTGAACCTACACGAGTCTTCTGAGTTTATATGAATGTTGATGATAGAAAATAGTGGAAAATCTGAAATAATAAGTTTTCTTTGGGGACTATTTTGCCTCACAGTGTTTACAACCGGCCAATAAACTCACAGAATAAGACGTGACGTAAACATAACAGATAACTCAAACTTCATAAGGTGGGCCTTTTTTCAAAAAAATATCGCGACACGTCTGAAAATATAAACATACATCATCTAGAAGACGAAAAATATTTAAATTCTTAATTTTGTCAAGAATGTAATTGGTTTTGCTGCGTCTCTCAGCTACACTGCTCGCTTATTTCCAGTACCGCGGTCTGTTTCACACATACGCAGACTGAGAAATCTGAAAGAAATCAGAGTAAGAGTATCGCCTTCACAATCTTCACATCTGAGTTATTAAACAGACCATCAGAGACAGAAAGCTGCAGTTTTACACTCAGCACTCCTGTTAGAGTCGGAGTGAAGATTTCAGCAGCGCTTTCACACACAAACTAAACAAACAACAAACAAACAAACAAACAACAAACAAACAAACAACAAAAATAGGACACACAGCAAACGAGAAAGAGGCTTCAGAACGATCCGCTTTGGTCATCCCTCCGACACGCCTGACCGGGAGGGATTCACAGCTGAGGAACCACAGAAACGCAGGCAGAACATGAAAGAACCTCTGAAGTGCCCGGAGAGCAGAATCACAGCTGTCCACAGTCTACCACTGTGATGGTTCTGCTGGGTTTGCCGCTTTTAGATCCGAGCTCTCCCATCCGCTTCACCACGTCCGCGCCGTCTCTGACGAAGCCGAACGCAACGTGCTTGAAGTCCAGGTGCTCGGCCTTTTTGAGGGTGATGAAGAACTGGGAGTTGTTAGTGTCTCTGCCGCGGTTGGCCATGGACAGCAGGCCCGGCCCGGTGTGCCTCACGTCGAAGTTCTCGTCCTCAAACTTGCCCCCGTAGATGGACTTTCCGCCGGTGCCGTCCTGGTTGGTGATGTCGCCTCCCTGGCACACAAACACAGAGTTCAACACTCGTATTGTCCTTCATTCATTCACAGCTACAGGAGAGACGATTCACACCTCGTCGTTTGGGTGATTTAATGAAATGTTCTGAACATTTTAAACACACTGAAAGCAGATTTAACTCAATATTATAGATTAATAATCTGCAGTTTACACTGTAATAGAGTCTAAAGATCTTTTTATATTAGATCTTTTTTAAGACTTTTATATCAGAATCACAATTTGAACAAATGTGATTTTCAAATCACAAGAGCTGCAATTTTATTATATAATACATCATCAAAATTGTTGTCTTAACAAGTTTTAAATGTAAAAAAATTAACCTAATAACACAGAGTTTGTGAACTGTCCGTCGATGAACTAGATCAGGGGTCACAACCCAAATATTAAGAAGAGCTTTTAACAAAAATGAAACCACCTTGGGAGCCACAACATTTAATGGCCGTTTTACCATTGTGGCTGTAAATATGTCTCAGTGTGTGCCGATGTACTAGTATAGACTAAAAAATATAATATAAACAGAAACACAGACTTGCTTTGCTCTGCTTTAAGCTTTAGTTCAGCTATAGCAGATTTTCTTGCATCTCCAGCAGGAAACTTTTCCAAAAGTAGAGCAGTTTCTGTAAAATGTCTCTCAACATTCGACTTTTTATGAGGCTGAAGTCGCTTCTCATTCGCCAGCTTCTTTCTTCTTTCCAACTTCTTCTTTAGTGTTTGTCAGTTTCTCGTTGCAGATTAAACGTATCAGGAAACCAGCTGGAGTGATTATAAATGTAAATAAGTCCATTCATCTCTAAATTATCGATTTTCGTCTTAAATCTCTCTCTTTGCCGTCTTGTTAGCTACTAGCTAGGTGAGACTGTTGTCTGTGTTGCTATGGTGACCAGCAGTCTGCGCTGATCTTCAGGGTTAAAGGGTGAATCAGCAGTTCTACATTAACTCCAGAGTTTAAGACCATTTATAGTTAAACTGTGTTGAACGATCAGCAGAGCTTTATTTTACTGTAAAGGAGGATTATTTTGCTTTTACTAATCTGATTCAGCTGTGGAGCAACAGGGCAGTAAAAGAGCCACATGTGGAGCTGCTTGTTGCTGATGCCTGAGTTAGACCAATCAGACACAACAGAACACCTCTGTTCTGTACATGTGACATCACAACCATCACATCTAACTGGTAGTCTGACACACTCAGTGTTTAAACTTCATGCCAGAAAAAGTGGATATCCTGCTTTTCATGGGCAAAAAAACAAGGGAAATGAATTTATAGAAAATTACTGCGTTTAAATCACAATATTTGTCAGAAACATCACAATTAGATGTTTTCCTTAAATCGTTCAGCCCTAATCGTATTGTTGAAAATTCAATAAAGCTCTATAAAAACTCTTCATGTGTGAATCTCTGAGTTTGAACAGTCTGAGCTCCCACAAGAATCTGAAGGCTCTGGTTCTCTGTAGGCCTTTTTTATTGTAGGAGGTATACAATGACATAGCATACAGCAGCCGACAGCCAGGGTGTAATAACACACTAAATAAATCATCATCAGTACATAATTACAAAGTCCTTATAGCTTTCTTGTGTTTTATATTTTTAAAATAGTGCCATATTTATTAATCTTAGGGAGGAAATGTGTAAAGTTCAGCTTATATTCAGACCATCTCTTATTATGTAAATGATATTTAGCCATAATAATTAAGTATTGTACAAGAAATTACTTTAACATCTAATGTGTCTTTAGAAAAATAAATAATAAGATCTGAAACATCCGGTGTGATCCAGTGTCCAGCCTTTCTTCTTACATAATGTTCCACATCATTCCAGAACACTTCAGTATAGGTACACTGGCAAAACTGATAGATACTTTTCCAAACCACAAAAAGTACCGAAATATTCATTAATAATTCTAAATCTCTCTAAAAAAACTTTAACAGGGTACACTTTGTGTAAATTTTAAAAGTCTTCTTTTATTTTATTATTCATACAGAATTTATCACAAATTCTCCTCGCTTTATTCCAGTTTATGTTCCCAAATACAGAAAACCAGTATGTTTATAAATCTTTGATGAGGTATTAGTTTCCTAGTGTGGTTCTCTATGTGTTCTATGTGTTCTATGTGGTTCTCAGCAGGCCCGTCTGCAGCCTCCTCCACTGACACTGCGCACCACGCAGCTTTCAGTCTATTGGCTCCGAGTCCGGAGGCGGGACGTTCGTTCTCAAACCCTATCGGCTGCGTCGTTCGCAGGACGCATCATTTGAATTGCGTCATGCAGCTCGAGTTCTCGCGATAAGGCCCGAGAGGCTGCGCGGTTCGGTGGCAGCGCGTTCGCGGCTGATGTTTAAACCCAAAGCGAGAATTCTGCGGATTTAGGTCCTGGATTTGAGATCGGCGGCGGTCCGGACTCTCAGGCAGCCATGAGGCGCAGTAAAGCCGACGTCGAGCGCTACATTTCCTCGGTGCAGAGCCTCTCTCCCGCCCAGGCTGAGGTAGGGCCGCCGGCCCGCGGTGCGTGGCTGGGCGCGTTAGCAGGGCTGGGTTAGCAGCACAGCTAACTAGATACACGAGATACTGTCCAAAAGTTTGTGGACACCTGTCCAAATATTTATTTCACTTATTATGGCTATTTTATCTATTTGACAGGAACAGCGTTCATTAATCAACAGATTAAGTGCTGTGTATGAACCAGATTTAGCCTCATAAGCTAATTTCCAGCTGCTTTCCCTCGCCAGTCTTAGCCCTCTACTGCATGATTTATTATTTAAGCATGACAAAAAGGTTTTAATGTGTTTTTGTTATTTGATATTGCTTAAACAGTGGAAATTTTTGGGGAAAAAAATATTTATTTCTAGAAATTTAGTGGGCCATTTGGCAGCAATGCACAATCGTACCATAGCACCATAAAATCTAAAAAAAATGCACCATAAAATTAAATTTTCTCTAAAAACGTTTTATCCTCTTATTGAAAACAAGAACAAATCAAATCCAACTTATACTTAGTGAAACGTATGACCCAATATTTGCGAATATTGGAAATTTAATACAATTTCAATTGGTATTTGGAATGTGTGGTAATAACAACAGCATAATAAAAATTCCGGTTCATGTGAGGTCATGAAGTGGCGTTATTTGTCCTTTCAAAGTAAAAGACACTTTTCCTACAATTAAATAGGAAAACACAGATTTTATTATTGCTTTTTAGTAAAATTAAGATGTAGTAATTGTTGCCATGTGGCAACACTGCAGTAGAGGGTTAAAATGGCAACATAGAATTATAATAAAATAAACACAAATAACATACAGACTTACAACCCAGGAGCAGCGTTATCTCTTCTTTACTCTTCTGAGAAGACTTTATGTGGAACATTGCTGTGATTTGATTGCACTCAGCCACGGAAGAATTAGTGAGGTCAGCTGCTGATGTTGGATGATCAGTTCTGGGTCGCAAACGACTCCTCAGGTTATCCCAGAGGTCCTGGCAGAGAGTGGAGCTCACCTGACGTTAGGAGGATCCACTCAGTACAAGAACAATTTCTGGATAATCACTAATGAAATTAAATTAAAGTGGCATAAGGTCATACATAAAATCTACCCAACAAACATTTTAAATGTAATATTGAACCCGGCTGCTGTAACATCTACCTGGAGACAGCTCCACTGACTTTGGCACTGTCAATATGTGGGGGATAAATCTGGCAAAGCCTCAAAACCACCTTTATATATTATTATCTGGAGTAATCCTAGAGCTAAATCTATGCATGTATATATGGTAAATCTTACACTTTTAATGGCGAAGATTTATGTTCACTAGTTTAAATTCTCAGGCAAAAGGCCTTTTAAGTTGCCTTTGAGAAGAACATTATATTGAAATAATCCGGCTCTCTTTAAAACACAAAGCTATAAAAACTATATACTAGCATGTGTTTGTGTATAGCCCCGTAGCAAATGTGTTTATATAGGTTATGTGCGCCCTGTTTGTATGTGTAGTTTATAAGTGTCTAGTCTGGTGTTTGCTCGGTGTTTTGCTGTGAGTGAAGTGTGTCTGGTCACTTCTGGACAGTTAGCCGGTGTCGTTAGCCGGGGTAGTTAGCCTGTCACAGTGAGGTCGTTAGCCCGAGTCGGCCTGCGTGTCAGAACAGCCAGTTCGGTCGGTATTAATGTCACCACAGTGACAAAAAGACGCTGGAAATGGACAGGACTTTGTTTTGGCTGTGAATGTGGGTGTGCTGGTCTCGCCGCCGGGTCGGTTCGGTTCAGTTCTGGTTCCCTTCAGCTCGTTAGCTTAGCTGCGCTGTGGTGTCGCGTTAGCTAACCGTGCTAACGCCGCTAGCAGCAGCACTTCCTTCTGGAAAACGCGGCAAACCGGCGCCGAACTGATGAGGCAGAGCGCAGTGAGGTCGGGGTAAATGTTCAGATCAGACCCGTGTTTGGACTTTACCTCCCCGAATCTGAGGACAAACAGATCGGACTCGCTTTCTCGCTCTCTGAGTTCGGATCACTGAGCTAACTAGCGTTAGCCGGCTAGCTAACTGACTTGCTAACCAGTCCCGGTGACGGAGCTGCAGTTAAAGCAGCAGCGACCGCCGATCAGCCTCAATATAGAGACTCAAAAGGGAATTAATGACATTACAGTACCGAAATAAATCAGTAAATAGAGTTAAAATATACAGCACTCGCTTCAGTTTTGATTAATTTCAGAAAATACTAAACGACTTGTAAACTGTGTGTGTGTGTGTGTGTGTATGTGTATGTGTATATATGTGTGTGTGTATATATGTGTGTGTGTATATATGTGTGTGTGTATATATGTGTGTGTGTGTGTGTATATATATGTGTGTGTGTGTGTGTGTGTGTGTGTGTGTGTATGACGGTGAGCTGCAGTGACAGTTAAAAGTGTAATAATGACCCAAACTCCATTCAGCCTGAATATAAAGATAGAAAATGCTTTTGTACTGAACTTAATCGATAAAGATATTTAGCACTCGTTTCAGTCTGGTTTTAGTTTTTTACTTTATCGATTTATTTCAGAAAATCCCAACATGTAATGAACTGACTGCAAGCCTAATCTAATACAGCTGATTCCACTCTTCAGGCTTTAAATGCTGGCGTTAAGTTTTAAAGCCCAGACACCCAAATTTACATATTCGAGTTAAATACTTTAAATGTTTATCAGAAGGATGTAAACCTTTGAGCTTGCTGGAAGTTATAACATTAAACGTTTTCAGAGGAGAAACGCCTGTAAGTGAGTATGTAGTGTTATTTTGAAGATTAATGGTGTAATTAGAGGTAAATTACTTGGTTATGTACAGATAATGTAAGAGGAATGGTGGTCTGTTGGGTGACGTAGTTGAATTGACTAGTGTTGTTCTCCAAGTGTGCTGAGCTGTCCGAGGAGACGCGTTCGCAGCAGTTTGAAAAGATGGAGTGTCCGGCTTCACGTGTCTCTGAGGATGCATGTGTGAGCCTTCACCCTCCCTGGGATTGGACGTTGTGCCAGGCTGACCTCCAGGCACTGACCACAGCGGCAGGAAGGCGGTGCCCAAACCTAATATGCTGACGTCAGCATACGAGAGAGACCGGGAGAACGATGACAGCCATGAGAGGTGAGAGGATGGCGCTATAGTCCCGAGCCCAGCCTCCTAGGCGCCTCCTCTGGTGAGGCCACTGCTGCACCTGATGTTTGATCCCGGTGGTGGTGAGGCGGAGCTCGGGACTCGGATGCCACCCTCTCGCCTTTGGCTGTTGTCGTTCCCCTGGTCTCTCTTGCAGCCAACATCCTCGTCCTGCTTGTCACTTGAAGTTCTTGTTGGCATGAAAGGTTCCTCCCTCTCCCGCGGCTGTTGTCGTTGCCTGGGGGTGGCCTGGAACAGACAAGTGAGCTAGTATTAGGTTAGCTAGTAGGCTACAGGTCAAAACAGGAAAGAAACAGGTTTAATTTAGTCTTTGTGCTCCTTCACCACCAGGAGAACCTGTTCTGTGGTGAGCAGAGCTAATGATGGACTGATGATCATTAACTGCATTCACTTATTTCATGACTGCGCAAGTGACCAGAAGAGTTTATTTGCTTGTTTTTCTGTTTTAAAATGCTGATTTTGTGCTTTGCGTTCCAGGCTGAAAATAAAAGTATTGGTTATTCAAATGACTTTGATTTTTATATTTTAATTTTTCAAATTTTAAAGATTTTCGTCAGATTTGTCCTCAAGCTCCGAGAACATAAGGACCAAAGAAATTTTAAAATTTCAAATATGCATATTAACAGATTAAAATTAGGGCTACACAACGATATTGTTATCATACAATACAATATTCTTTCAAACCGATGTTTCATGACTGACTGTGTTCCAGAAGAGCAGAGTGTGACGGTGATGCTGGGCTGCTGCTGTTTATTCATTTTACAGTTGAAACCTTGTACAGATAATTGTGCCATTTCTCTGTAATGCTAATCCAGAATAATCTAATCCTGATTTCTACATTTTATAAATGTTCATGTATCAGCATGAAAAATATAGAACTTTAAATATAGTTTATCGTAGTATTACATTTTTGTAAGGTTAAAGTGAATTTTTGTTTGTAGATGCACATCTACACATTTCCTTTATCGTAATACTGAGTAAGCTTTGTGTTTATTCATGGCTGTGAAATTAGCACGGCCGTGATTCCTGATTCTGGTTCTGGGATCTGTATGGTGCAATTGATTCTCACACTTTCTTCTCTTTCAGAAACCTGTGAAAGGATTTTTATTTGCGAAGTTGTACTTTGAAGCGAAGGAGTATGAACTTGCTAAAAGGTAATATTATTGTTAATATTTGTTTAAAAATTTAATTTAAAACTATTTCCTGATGTCTTGTTGTGAACAGTTTGAATGGTAACTGACCTTTTTCCTCTTTTCCTCCTGCTGTATCTGCAGACACGTGTCGGCTTATTTAACAGTGCAGGTCAGAGACCCCAAAGCTCACAGGTTCCTCGGCCAGCTCTACGAAAGAGAGGGTGAAGTTGAAAAAGCTATAGGATGTTACAAGGTATGTGAGTTTCGCACGTCATACACACGTCATCATACAGGCCTTTAAAAGCCTTTTATTACAATATGGCGTCTGTAGTTTACTTTCCTTATTAATAACTGCATATTTTACATAGCCTGTTCCAGTATGGCTTTAGAGGGAAAGTCCACAGTTTTTACATTTCTGCATATTTCACTCAGTATGTAAAGTATGTTAATAAATAGGGTAAAAAGATACATTTCTAAATAATTACTAAAACCGTGAGCTAATCTTGAAAGCAGCAAAGGAACAAAAAGGGGGGGAAATGAAATGAATGTTGGTGAAATGGTGGTAAATCTGACTTCTCTTTGTTTACTCTTGTCTTATAACACCCTGAATGTACTAATCCTCTGTGAACGTGTCTTAAAATATTTTGGGGCAAAACTTCATCTCAAAACTCACACACACACACATTTCCTAAGCTGCTTATCCTTCTGGGTGGTGGGTCATTTCAAAACTATCACAAAATAATGAAGTAGTTTGACAGGATGTCAAATGAACGATGTTAGGAAGTATTTAATGTAATATCTGTGAGTTTGTGAGGCATCTAAAGCATTTAATGGGGGAAAAATGGTTCCCATCATTACCGTTTTGAATTATTTTGACAATATAATCAAATAAAATAATTAAATTGAACTGATGGACCTCAAAGGCTGAAAAATGCATTTAATGGTAAAGGAGTTAATTATGCTGAAATATTGAGAAATCAGTGGAGTTCCCCTCTAAGCTAATGTGTGGCATGAGAGGCTTTTACCAGGAAATCATGTTGTTTTGTCCCAGTTAATGAATTCCTCTTTTTTCCCCTGTAATACTTCAGCGTTCAGTGGATCTGAATCCAGCTCAGAGAGACTTGGTCCTGAAGGTGGCTGAGCTTCTGTGCAGTAAACCTGAACTGGACAGCAGAGCGGAATTCTGGGTAGAGAAAGCTGCCAAACTGTTGCCTGGTCATCCTGCCGTCTTTGACCTCAGGGTTAGTACAAAATGACCGTCCCTTTATTTATTTATTTATTTATTTATTTTTATTCATTTTCATTATACATTTCATAATATTTTGAAAAGATAACTTTAAAGAGACGTTTTAGCCTCTGTTTTATTTAAACAGAGTAACCTGTTATTAACAGTTGTATAGAAGCGCTTCTCTGACTCTAACTAATGCACATTATTTAAAAATCAGATCGATTTTAATTATGTAACCGTTAAGGTACATTGCACTCATTTGTGCCAACAAGTGCTTAATTCTAAGTAGGTTACCCAGAGTGGGATCAGTTTTGTAGAGTACTAAAAAAAAAAAAAGTAGTAGCATCGGTTCATCCCTAGTATTAAGGCTTTTATGTCTGTATGATTTAGGGAAGGTTATCAGAATTATTTAAAGTTTGAAATGGGATGATGGCCATTAAAGCCAGTAATCGTCCTGTTTCTACCTCTTTTACGAAAACACTGTTGTCTTTAGAAGCATCTTCAAGCGTTTAATGTATCAGGTGTGTAGAGGTAACCTGCGTCTTCTCCCTGTAGGAGAAACTGCTGAGTGCGAAGGGACAGCAGGGCTGGAACCAGCTGTACGACCTGCTGCAGTCAGAGCTGCAGCTGCGCCCGTCCGACGCCCACGTCAACAGCAAGCTGGTGCAGCTCTACTGCTCAGACGGACGCTTGGAGGATGCGGCCAGGCACTGTCTGTCTGTGGAAAGATCTGGAGTGTTGAGACACAGCCTGGACTGGTACACCACCGCCATCCACACCATCCAGGTCTGGGAAGGCTTTATTCAGCCTGGTTGCTTTGGAATTTACAGTCATGATACACAATAAGCGTCATGATATTTTGCTGTTCTGAAGTCTGGAAACAAACTGTAAAAGACCAAACAGAGACATAAAAGGCTGTAGAAAACTTTTTACCCCAAACATAAAATAAAAAGGAACAGTGAAAAGCAGACAATTGAAATAAATTAATAATATAATATAATGGCATAATGAACTGACACCCAATCAGCTACTGGTTGCAGTGGATGCACTGGATGTTTACAGCGTCTTTAAAAATTTATGTATTTATGCATTTATTTATTTATTTGTTTAAATGAGACGTGCGATGGTTAAGATGTACTGTCGATTCCCGTAATTGTCAGAAAAGTGTGTTGTAACTTGTTTAATCACCATGAATAACCTGTTGCCATGTTGCCCCCGTAGTGCATTCTGATGCAACAGCACCTTACTGGATTCAGTAATAATGCATTTCAGTGTTCAATGAAGAATTAAAGTTGCCTTTAAATCTCCTACAGGAATACTTGGCACAACCAAGCGTATCTTCCAATGAGAAACTCTGTCGCAAATTTCAAAAGGAGCTCTTGCTGGCTCACTGCAACCTGCTGAGACTCACACTCTCAGAGAAAGGATGCCAGGAAAGTGTGGACGCCCTTCAGACGTAAGATGATATTTATTTGTTTGTTTGTTTGTTGATTGGTTATTAAATAAGAGAATTGCATAAAGTGCCCTGTATTGTACATTCAACAGGTGCATGTATGCATACACACTGATATACATACATATACATAAATATATGTAATATATAAACACATACAAATATACTGCCTGACAAAATGCAAGTTTCAGTGTTGATTGGTTGTACTTGACACGTCATATTTATTTCAACCAATCCAGTCAGGCTGTGGGCGGGGCTTTGAGTCAGAAGAGTCATGCATGTGTTAGAGATGTGCTTTAATCAGGTAAAAAAAAATGTTAATGCAGTTTATTAGGGAAGGAAAGATGAAGGTTTGGAAAGCCTCCCCAGCTGATTGGTGACCCCTGGTGTAGAGGCTGCAGCTGATGGCACATTTTTGTTCATGTGAAAAATGTTTCTTTTTAATTCTCCATAGATGTTATTAATGCATCAGTTTTACTGATTATCCTTGCATTTTCTGCCTCAGTGTAAACGGTTCATCTGGTTTAGCTCAAGTGGTGACATAACCATCGTATGCCCATGATTCTGTGATTCCAGTTTTGACCACGCTATGCAGTCCTTAAAAACTACTGCCATGAACACAGCCGATGAACTCTCAGAGGTCTTCTTAGAAATGAGAGCTCATCTGTATCTGTATGCTGGGACCCTCCTGTTGAAGATGGCCTTGGAAAAAGAGCAGCAGTGGAGAGCCGTAGTTCATTTAGCAGCCTTTTGTTACCTTCTGGCTTATCAGGTGAGTATTGGTCCATGCTCTGCTTTATCAGTTTCTCTTTCAAGCTTTGGTTCGTTGTCTCACTATGGGGTGCGGCTCTCTGGGTTCAGATCTGCATCTGACGCTGGTGTTAAGCACATCTGTGGCTCCGGCTACCAGGCCTGTTAGCCTCTCTTAGCGGTGGGCTAAGGGGGGTAACAGCATAGCATATGCTTCACTGAGGTGGTATTACTCGGCGTGAAGGGCTATATTGTGGCCCTAGTCAGGGTCCAGTACACCGTGGTGCTCTATGCTCCTCTGCACTCAGCGACCCGCTCTGTAACTTGACGTGGTTTGACACTCCGAGTTGCTGTGGTTCCTAAACACTTCCACTTTTCAATAATACACTCACAGCTGATCGTGGAAAATCTCAGAGGGAAGAATTTTCACAAACTGACTTGTTGCAACCGTGGCTCCTGTTACAGAACCACGCTGGAATTCAGTGAGCTCTTTAGAGCCGTTCTTTCACTAATGTGTGTAAAGGCTGACTGCATGGCTAGCAGCTCGGTTTTATACACCTGTGGCAATGAGACTGAAAACACCTGAATTCAGTGATTGAGAGGGGTGTCTCTATACTTTTGTTCCTATAGTGTGGGCTATATCTTACGCATACGCAGGAGGGCGTAACCCATAGTGAGACTCATTCTGTTAGAGAATGGGGTTTGTAGTAAATACATACCATTGGAAAAACTTGTAGTAGTGAATAAAAAACATGGGTCGTGCTTTTTGTTTGTCACACAGACAAAAAATTAATTGCATAAAATGAAAGTTTTTCTTTTAGTAATGTCTTAATATTGACCGAAGTTGTCAGTCGACTAATCGTAGTTATTTCTTTATGTATTTACTAATGTATTTTTACAGATAGATTACAGTTAAAGCTGTAGCTGTAGCCGCAAATAGAGGTTTAAAGCATGTGGCTAGTGAGTCTCTGTATAAGTGTAAATGTTCTGTTTTACTTAACGTTTTGAATGTTAGTTAAAACATGACACTGGCCTGTTTTATCAGCATGTGTACCGTAGTGGGTGGTACCACTGCACTTCCTACCTGCCATAATTAACGTTTTATGCATGCTTAACGTTAGTTGTTTGTTTCTGTTCCCCTCTTTAGGCTCCCAGGCCAAAGCCAAAGCCTGAGAAAGGTGACCTGGCACAACCGAAACCTCTAGAGTCGTTAGCCTGTTATCGTCAAAGCCAAGCAGGCCACATGCTGCTGAATCTGAATCAGGAGCCGGAGCACTTAATAAAGGAGGTGGTGGAGGTGTTTGGGAACAGGAGCGGGCAGGAAAGTCTGGTGGAGATGCTCCTCAGTGTACAAGGTCCTTCCAGCCGCTCATTCATTGGAAACGATTCTATAAGTGGCATCAGTACCCAGACACCAGATATACAAGAACTTGCCAAGTGTGACGGTGGTAAGTAAAAACAAACAGACAGGAATGTTTGCCATTCGTTCTTTCTCAGTTGCTCTCACATGATAGATCTTTGTTATTAGGGGAGCCACAAGTTATTGGTGTAGTAAATTCATGTCAGATAACTTGGGTGTGTAAATCTGACCTTACTTTGATTTGATGAAATAACATAAATGAAATGAAGTTAAATCACAATTTAATTTGATTATTTTGGTACAATATGATGCATGATGTGTATTCCGCTACCGTGTGAATAGTAATTCAAAGTAATAAAAAAAATAAAAATAGTATTCTGGCGTCAGCGATGACGACGCGGGAAGCATTGTGCTTTAAAGGCGAATGCTCTTATTGAACAGGCAGCCACTCGGCGCAAGCTGACACGTCCTGGAGGCATGCAGGTCACTTCTGACGCTCCGTACGGCTCTCCTTCGTGGTAGACACTTAAACAAACACCGACCACCGCACAGCCCAACACAGTAGCAGAACTTCAAAAATGTGTGTCTTACTACAACCGCAGCACTTCCTGAGAGCCTCTTTGCATGGCCGCACCTCCACATAGCCCCCTTCCACATAGTCCCTCACAGAGTTCAAGCAGAGTCCCTGGCCCTCAAATCCCACCAGTCAACACAAATGCCGCTCTTCAGCCATGCACACCCCCAGTCATCTCTGGGGGGGGGGCAGCATCCTCTCCATCAGTGTGCCGCAGTGGAGAGACAGACCGTTGTGTCCTCCTCCCTGTTTGTGACGGCAGTCCCTAACGCTCCCTGCACTGCCAATGCCAGGCTGATGCTGCTCGTGAGTGCTGGAGCCCTGAATCCCTGCCTAGGCTAGAACTGGCAGCTTGTCTGCATGCTCTTTAGGAAGCCGCCACCTGGCCGACTGTGCCCCAGGCGCCTGCTCAATGCGTCGTCAGGGGGGTCAGCGCTGCCAAGCTAGCACACTACTTTTGCCCTGGCAGGTCCTCACGGCCATCCGTCCTTCAAGGCGTCCTTGTTGGCTGACGTACAGTATGTGTTTTTGGCATCCTCCTAAATCTGTGTGGCCAGTAGCCACAACACATTTTTTGTTATATAGAGTGAGAATTTTACTTGGACCTCAAAATTTAAAGTCAGTGAAGTTAAATTGTCACACCGATGCATTTGTACACCCCTCATGATGTATATCTTGAATCCTGATTTGGTCTAACAGCATCTTTCCTCTGTGTTCTTAGGTTCAATCCTGCACTATGGGGATTTGCAGTACCTAACTTGGTTGGGCTTACAGTGGTCAATGTTGGGCGAGAGGCCAGCCCTGAAAGACTGGCTGAAGCAGCTCTATCCTCGTCTCACTTTGGAGACCTTCAAAGTGGACACCAACACTCCGGAGTCGATCTGTCTGCTGGACCTTGAGGTGAAGACTCTTTTGTTTTCTGTTTCTTTTGCTGTGGATGAATCTGGATAGGTTCAGGCTGAAACCTTTACACCTGGGAGAATATTTGAACATCAAGAAACTCGCATGAATTTGACAAAATGCACATGCATTATCGGTTTTAACAGGCTTGCATTGTGTTTGCATTACATTCCACTTAAGATGTTCATGCTGAATGAGATGCATCTTAATCACTCTGCTCCCAAAACCTGTATAAAGTATTATTAAGATGCTTTTAGGGCTTGCAAATAGTTTATAAAAATTTTGCAAATATTATAATTTTTATTCATATTCTTTGGTTTGCCATAGACAGTTTTTGTTTGTATTCTGTAAATGATTCTTTAAAATATACATTTTTTATAATTGGGTTTTTTTAGTGCTTTGTTCTGTATACTAGTGTGTTTCACTCTGGTGTGTTTCGATTTGTGATTTATTTCAGGTCTTTTTATTTGGTGTCGTGTTCACAAGTCACACTCAGCTACAGGAGACTGCAAAGATTTCTGCCGGCTCCCAGCTGCATGAGCCACGATGTTTGCCTTTGCAGCTCATGAAACTCTTGACGTCGGAGAGACAGCGAGAGTGGTGGGACGCAGTCTACAGCCTCATTCATAAAAAAGCACTGTGAGTCTGCAGAAGCCCTAATAAAGCCCTACAAGAAATCCTGTACACAAAAACCAATCTGGCTGTTGCAGAATTATTTTGAATTTATGGTGATTATTATGGAGAGCTACTGTAGGTACCACTTTAAACTAAGACCACCACCAAGGATCAGAAATTGTTTAAAATGAATTTGATTAATAACCATTAATTCGTCATAAACACCTTAAAATCATTAATAAGCATTTACAACACATAAATAGGGCCACAGTGGCCTTTTTGCCTAATAGTGAACCCTCATTCGTTTATACTGTTAAAGATCAGATGATGGTTACTGATCTTACTGTGTCTTCATCAGTCAGCATCAAACCTGTCGGCTTCGTCACACATTCATATTCATCAGATATAATAGCTCACATTTTTGTTAATGTTAATTAGTAATGTGTTAGTTAAACTGCTTCTTGTTATTTCTGTGTTTATGAACCAACTGAAAAACCATAAACAAACTAATTGAACATTCATGAGTTTTATAAGGGTAGCCGTATTTAAAGTGCTCCCCCTGCTGTGCTCTGTATGTTGAGATCTTTGCAAATTCTTATTGGTGATGTGACTGAAGTCATTTCACCAAGTTTTATGTTGAAAACCACAAATAACATTATCAGCGCTGAGCCTGTTGCATAAACATTAAAATAATATTAGACAATAACTTGTGTAAACATTAAAATGCATGTTTGATGATATGAACTTTAAAAGTAGCACCGTGTGACCAGGAGAGGTTAGGGTGTTCAAACGTTTGGTGTTTTTAATATTAATAGAGTACAGACACAGTTTATTTTTACTATTTACCCCTGATAATCTGATGTAGGCTCTCAAAATATCATTAAATAATGATGGCAACATTTTCTTAGGACATTTAGACTACCAGACTATCCTACCTGTGGTAATATGAGGCTGAAGTCGGCTTCCTGTTTGCCAGCTTCTTGTTAGAATTTTCCCGTTTCGCCCTAAATGTGCAGCACTTATATCCTGGCACAGCAGGCATTATGATGACTGCCACACCATTTAAGGCGGAACAGGAAAGATTGAGCAAGAAGCTGGCAGCTTCAGCTTTGTAGTTTTAATGCTGGTACAGGTAAAACCTATAACTGTTTCATCACTAGTATGTACGTGTCTGTGTTTCTGTGCTGTCAGTCGTTCTGAACTTTTTTTTTCATCTCTTGAAGTCCTAATATGTCTGCCAAGCTGCGGATGATTGTCCAGCATGGCCTGAGCACACTGCGCGCAGGAGAGAAACATGGCCTTCAGCCTGCACTGCTCATCCACTGGGCCAGGCACCTCAGCATAACAGTGAGTTGATTGTATACTTCACTTTACATTCACTTGAATTGTGTAGATTGGAGGAGTTTTGAGGTGCAGACGTGACAACAACAGCACCGTTTAGCTAAACTGCTAATGCACTCAGCAGAGCTCAGAGTGCATTTGGCTTGTCAGAAAAGTTCTGAAGCCCAGATCGTATTTCTCTTTCTTACTGTTTAAAAATGCTGAACATATTAAAATAACATATTGCAGCGTTCATAAAGCTGAAGTTCACCTTTATTCATAATTCCGTGCCACTTTAAATTGTGAAACGATGATGTGATTTAAGGTGGAACAGTAAATTCGAATAAGAGAACCACAGCCTCCTGCAGTTACTCCTGTATTTATCTTGGAATCAGACAATTCCATAATAATTCTACCACTACAGGTTTCTCCTGACAATACCAGTAAACCGTGCTGCAGGGAATTGGTTTCTGAACTTGTCACCTTTTTCACTCCTCATGAGTTTTCATGTCTGGGTGTTGCAGTGGTCACTGCAGCTCTGTTATACCTCTTACATAGCACTTTCTTATCCAGTACCATCAAAAGCTCATAATTCTATACTAGGCTAGTAGATAATAAACTACAGCTTTTATTATACCATTGATCTCTTTCACACAAAAAGCAAGTGTATGCAAAATTACACTGTTTAAAAACTAGGACCTGCAACTAGGAGAACACTTCACTCTTACCTTTGTGGCTTGTCTGAAAATGTGGGAATAAAATAAAAAAAAAAAATATATATATACACACACCAGCATTATTTCAAACTCAGTAATTGTTAAGTAATGTGTACTAATTTGTATTAAAATAAATAGTTCAGATTAAATTTTAATGGTGTAATTTTGCATACATTTGCTTTTTGTGAAAGAATTCAACCGAATAATAAGTTTTTACTGCCCAGCTGCAGGGTGCCTGGAAAATTTTGGAATTCACCAAAATTACATCAGACTTATCATTTGTGTATAAAATAATAGGTTTTGTGTGGGTTGGTTCATTGCAGGGTGATGGCGTGAACTCCTACTATGACCAGAAAGAGTATATTGGCCGTAGTGTCCACTACTGGAATGTTGTTCTTCCCTTGCTGGAGAAAATTGAGAAGAGGCGCAGCATCGCTGAACCCCTCGATCCAATGTTTAAGCATTTTAGGAGTAAAGACATACAGGTATGGCGACTGCACATTCGTTTGCATGTCAGGTGTCCTTAAAGTGACCTGACTGTGTAATATAATATTTTTTTCTCTGTTAATTTTAGGCTTCTGAAGTCAAAGGGTATGAAGAGGAAGCCATGATCGCTTTTGCCACTCTGCTCGACGTCGAGGGCAAAACTGATCAGGCCATTTTGAAGCTTGAGAAGCTCAATAGTGTCTCTTCACATTGGCATCTTGCTCGGGTAATTCAGTTCATTATTTAATGTTTGAGATGATCTTGGACTGTTTCTTGTTGTTTTAATATTTTAAAAAATATATTTGATTCCGTATCGCAAATAATTTCTCAATTAGTCAGATATCAATGTTTTTTGCCTACATTTTTGTGGGCAGCCGTCTTAGCAAAGTTGTACCAACTCTGTCTGCTCTTTTACCCGTTTGCTTGGTTTTATGAACCACAGATCTATCAGAGGCTTTCTGAGGAGGCAGGAAACGGTGTTGAAGAAACTCAAGACATGTGTATGAACTTTCTCCGGCAGTTCAAGAAATACTTATCAAAGATCTACCACGCCAGCGCAGACGATATGGAGAAGGTCTGGAGTCTAATACTAAAGAAAGAATGACCACCTGGTTTTGGTGTCACTGAGGAGAAACTCAAATTTAAGTTTGATTTTAATTTATTTCAGCTGCCTGTGTCAATGGAGGAAGTTATGGATTTGCTGAATGATGTCAATCAGCAGCTTGGGGACAGTGGAGAGGCTTTGGACGGAGTTGATGGAGGACTTCCAATGACCTCGAGCCCAAGATCACTAACAGATCCAGCAGTGGCTGCTCCTCACAAAATGTCCATGTCATCCCCAGCCAAAAGTGTTCTCTCCCCCTCCAAAAGACCAGTGGTACATCGATTTTCCTTTATCATGTTGTTTTAAGAACATTTTTGTGTACACTTACATGTAATACATGTTGCCTTTTATTAATAGTTTTCTCCCAAGACTCCCCCTCATTGGGTGGAAGATCAGAAGTCACTCTTGAAGATGCTCTGTGAACAAGTCGAGGCTTTAAAGGTCAGTAACACATACTGAAGTTCAAAGGTGAACAGCATCACTAGCCAACACCTTCCACAGGTTATATAAATTACTGCGTTTTTGGTTAAAGGTATTATGAACATTGAAAATGAGAGCTGAGTCTGTAATTGAAAAATTGAAATTAATTGAAAATTCAGACAACTGAGGCTAGTAAGTTTCTCAATGCATGTCTTTGGATTCTTATGTTGCAGAATGAGGTTCATGACCTGAGGCACAACGCGTCAGAAACAACAGACTCTCCGTATAACCGAGTGTATCCAGGAAATTACTCAGCAGAGGCCCTACAGGAGCCCTTTTCAGCTACACAGACATTTCATGGAGTACCACTTACAGGTCAGTCCAAATGCCAGTTCACACTGAAAGCATTCATCAAGTGTGTTTGTTTCAGTCCACACTGACTCTGCTGGAACCCAAACCCTCGTCAAACCAGCGAATGGCCTTATGTCTGGGGAATTGAACTTTATTTCTTAGGCTGGACTGTTGCCATGATTAGGCTTTGTCTACACATGACAAGTGACAGGTGTGACGGACAGAACCATGTAAGGATAGATAAAAATAGGCTGAACGGAACGTTCTAGGTACAACACACAATACTGAATATAATGGCGTATAACACAGTAGTACGTTCCTATAACGTGAGTCTTACCGCTGTCAAAACTACCAGTACCAGGTTTTAATCTAATTGGTCTGCTGTCTGCAGAGCAACTAGCGCAGTATACTAACGGTTTCTGTAATGTGGGATGCCAATAAGGTAGGGCTGTTAGATTCATTATTTTTATATGGAAATCACAATTTAAAAAGGGTGCAATTCTCAACTCGCGAGAGCTGCAATATCATCCTGTTTTCTCACCATCACACTTTCTATGAAAGTGTGTTTTGGAGCGCAGCGGTGAACCGAAAGCAGTGTGGATTGTATGAATGGTCACTTACATATTTTATACATTTTTGTTGATTCTGGGGTGAATTCCATGTAACCAGCTGGCTTGAATGACTCACTGCAGCTCTTTTGTTTGGCTGTATTAATTTTCCACTAATTTGCTTGTTTTTCAGTTGCCACTACAGGTCCCTCAGTGTACTACAATCAGTCCCCTGCATATAATTCACAGTACCTTCTTCGCCCTGCTGCTAATGTAACGCCAACAAAGGTATGCATACATATAGAGTGTAAACTATATCCATTTACTGTGTTCCTTGTGTCAAAAAAAAATGAAATGTCAACTTTTTATAATTTAACATTGCTCTTTTGTTTTAACTCAATTAGGCACCGGTCTACGGAGTGAATCGCCTCCCTCAGCAACATATGTATGCCTACCAACAGCCAACACACACACCACCTCTTCAAACAGCGTCATGCATATATTCACAAGACCAGGTCTTCGGTACCCCTCTTAGGTTTGAGTCACCTGCCACAGCCTTACTCTCTCCTTACAGTGAAGAATACTGTGGTCATAATGTTTCTCAGTCTTCGACCAATCCAACATTGCCAGAGCCTGGATACTTCACTAAGCCCCCTGTCATACCCGCCCAGTCCTATAAGAGCAGTGAAGGCAAATCATCTGACTTGAAGATGAGCTTCAGCTCGCAGGTTCCTGTTGAACCTCCGAAGGTTCCCTCTTTTGGTAGTGGGCCTACACAGACAAATCCAGCAGGAACAGCTTTCAAGTTTAATTCAAATTTTAAATCTAATGACGGGGACTTTACCTTCTCATCGACGAATGTGAAAAACAACAGCGAAAGCCTTTTGGGGCTTCTGACTTCAGATATTCCACCCAGAACTGAAGCACATTCAGCACTGAAGCCTCAAACACAAGACCAGGCAGCTAGCAACACTGGAATCTTTACTTTTGGGAGCAAAACTTCCTCAGGATTTTCGTTTACTGATGTTGCCCAGGCCAAAACTCTTTTTGGAAAACCTGACCAAACATTTGGCTTTGCATGTATGACCAAGCCAGGATCTGGGACAGGAAACACAGAGGAAAATGATGAGAAGTGTGCAGAAAGTGATGACAGCACCCATGTTGAAGAGGATGAGGATGGACCCCATTTTGAGCCCATTGTGCCTCTGCCAGACAAGGTTGATGTAAAAACGGGTGAGGAGGAGGAAGAGGAGATGTTCTGTAACAGGGCGAAATTGTTCAGATTCGAGGCTGAAACTAAAGAATGGAAGGAAAGAGGAATCGGAAGCATCAAAATCCTGAAACACAAAACCTCAGGGAAATTTCGGGTGTTGATGAGGAGGGAGCAAGTTCTGAAAATCTGCGCCAATCATTACATCACAGCGGACATGGTTTTGAAACCAAACGCTGGGTCTGATAAGTCATGGGTGTGGCATGCAATCGACTATGCTGATGAAATGCCGAAGACCGAACAGCTGGCTATTCGCTTCAAAACAGCAGATGAAGCAGCTTTATTCAAACTAAAATTTGTGGAGGCTCAGAGAGCCATTCAGTCTCTGCAAATACAAGATCAGCCAAAGGAAAGTAACTCCAAGTCCTCTGCTCCTCAGGGGTCGGGCAAAAAGTTGGATCTAAAAACTCAGTTTGCAAAGAAGGAAGGCGAATGGGACTGCAACGTCTGCTGTGTAAGAAATGGCCCATCATCTAAGAGTTGTGTGGCGTGTAACAGTCCCAATCCTGATCTTTTAAAATCTGAAGCTAAACCGGCAGATGGGTTCAGAAGTGCCACCAATGTGACTCCCTCTGCAGGTACATTCACCTTTGGACTTGGCGCTAAGGATACCAGCTCTGAAACCGGCTTTAAAGGATTTGGAGATCAGATTCCATTTTCTTTTAAGTTCGGAACACAAGCAACCACAGCACCATCCAGTCAGAGTGACAAAAAGTCTGGTCAGTGGGAAGCTGCAGCAGAGAGTACTGTGTCGAATAAGAGTCTAAATCCCTCTGTGCAGGCGGTAAGCAACTCTTCAAGTGTTGCACCAACAGGTTTCTCGTTTGGGTCTGGATTTGCTCAGTTTGCTAAGAAACCTGGACAGTGGGATTGTCCCACATGTGCAGTGAGGAATGAGGCGTCTGCAAGCACTTGCGTTGCATGTCAAACCTCAAATCCTTCAGCCAAAACCGTCCCTGCACCAGAACCCGTCAAATCGTCCGCGAGTCCTGGACTTGGACCTGGACTTGATCAGTTTGCCAAGAAACCTGGACAGTGGGATTGTGATACCTGCTTAGTCAGGAATGATGCAGCTGCCACAAAGTGCATTTCCTGCCAGACCCCATGTAGCACTGCAAAAAGTCAGGGTGGTCTGGCAATGTTTGGTAAAAAAGAAGGACAGTGGGATTGTGAGACTTGCCTGGTAAGAAATGAAGGCACGTCCAGTCACTGTGTGTCGTGCCAGGAACCTAAAGCAAGTGCAAAAAGCTCTTTAGCCGCACCAGCATCTTCCTCCTTCAGCTTTAGTTTCGGCAGTAACGATAACCAACCTGCCGGTACTGGGTTTAAAGCCAACTTTGATGCTAGTAGCACTTTTCAGTTTGGACAGAGTAAGAAAGAAACGACATCAGCAGCTTTTAAATTTGAGTCTTCTGCGGCTCAGGTTGAAACATCTTCAAGCACTTCAACTTTCTCTTTTTCATCACCAGCATCTGCCAATGGATTTAAGTTTGGTCTTAGTGAACCAGAAACAACGCCAGCAGTAAGTCAAGCACAGAGTGGATCTGCCTCAAGTTTTCTGAAAAATATTGCCGAACAACACAGAGAGAAAGAAAAAGAGGCAGCCTCTTCTACTCCGTCTCCGGCCATGGCTGGTAATGATGACAATCCACTCCTTACATCAAAGCTGAACGCCTTCAGTTTTGCGGACTTGGCAAAGTCTTCACAAGGTAACTTTCAGTTTGGGCAGAAAGATCCTAGTTTTACAGGCTTCGCAGGAGCTGGTGAGCAGCTTTTCACTTCATTACGGGAAGGCCAAAAGGCAGACACCTCTGTTGATCAAGACGAGGAAGATATGTACAAGACTGAAGAAAATGATGACATTCAATTTGAACCTGTGGTTAAGATGCCTGAGAAAGTTGAACTTGTTACAGGGGAGGAGGACGAGGAATGTCTTTACACAAACCGTGTTAAGCTCTTCAGGTTTGATTGTGAAACTCAGCAGTGGAAGGAAAGAGGAGTCGGGAACCTTAAAATTCTAAAAAATAATGAAAATGGTAGGCTTAGAGTTCTTATGAGGAGAGAGCAAGTGTTGAAGGTGTGTGCTAATCACTGGATCACTACCACAATGAACTTGAAGCCTCTTGCTGGGTCAGATCGTGCCTGGATGTGGCAAGCTAGCGACTTTTCAGATGGTGATGCCAGGTTCGAACAGTTGGCCGCCAAGTTCAAAACCCCAGAACTTGCAGCAGAGTTCAAGCAAAAGTTTGAGGAATGTCAGCGACTCCTTCTGGACATTCCTCTGCAGACGCCTCACAAGCTTGCAAATTCCAGCAGAACGGCGCATCTCATACAGAAAGCTGAGGAGATGAAATCTGGTCTCAAAGACCTCAAGTCATTCTTGACTTATGATGGGATTAAAAGCAAGGATGAAGAAGGCAGTGCCACCGTTGCAAATGACACTTCTGAGCTCGTAATCAAGCCACACTCTGAGAGCACGGGATCTACTTTGGAATGGGACAACTACGATTTGCAGAAAGATGTTCATGATGAAAGTGCAGACACGTCCATCTATGCCTCTCCACTGGCTAGCAGCCCACTGCAAAAAAGCTTGTTCCGCTTTGGGGAATCGTCTGCTGGGTTTAGCTTCAGTTTCCAGCCCGTTCTCAGTCCTTCGAAATCCCCAGCTAAGCTAAACCAAAGCAGAACTTCTGTTGGCACAGATGATGAACAAGAAACGACCCAAGAAGAGGAGAGGGACGGACAGTACTTTGAGCCAGTTGTGCCTTTGCCTGATCTTGTTGAGATTTCAACCGGAGAAGAGAACGAGCAGGTAGTGTTCAGTCACAGAGCAAAGTTATATCGGTACGATAAAGACCTTAGCCAGTGGAAGGAGAGAGGCATCGGGGACCTCAAGATTTTACAAAATTATGATACTAAGCGCACACGGCTTGTGATGAGACGGGACCAAGTCCTCAAACTATGCGCAAACCACTGGATAACTTTGGATATGAAGCTGGAGCCGATGAAAGGAGCTGAAAAGGCGTGGATCTGGAGCGCTTACGACTTTGCCGAAGGAGAAGGGAAGGTTGAGCAGTTAGCTGTGCGCTTCAAATTGCTGGAAACGGCGAATACTTTCAAAGAATTATTTGACAAAGCCAAGGACGCTCAGGAGAAGAAAATTCTCCTTGCGACTGCTTCTCCTAGAGAACCGTTGACCTCAGTTGACCTTTGTGGGAAAGCTGCCATTGCAGTGCTTGAGGAAACCACCAGGCTAACTACTGAGCAGCCTTCTGAAGGCTGTCATACGCCGAGTGGGAAAAGTCCTCACAGTCCGCAGAGCTCCTCTAAAACGGTGGTGTCTCCCCCCAAGTTTGTCTTTGGAACAGACTCTGTACAGAAAATCTTTGGAAGCCCACTGTCTTCAAAAGAGATGGTCCCTGCCATTGCTGCAGGTTCCAAAGACAAGGCGTCGAGTAGCACTTCTGACCCCAAAACTTTTGGAAGCAGTTCAGTGTCGGGTGTAACTCCATTCAGAGTACCGGAAAGAGGTGAGACTGTTTTGCCAGATTTGCTGTAATTTCTCCAGAAAATTGTTCTCTACAGATTCTAATGTTATGATTAAACATGGTCTCAAAAGTTGTGTCTTCAGACAAGCCTGAAAGAAGATCTCTCACGCAGCAAAGCCTGGTCACGTTTGAGTCACTTCGTCATGTTTACTTTTTAAAATCAAAGAAACAGTACTGCGTTTTACTGCGTCATAATTTTAAAGCAAGCTAATAAAAGGCCAGATTTAGTGCCGTTTACGTCAAAGTTTAAACTGTAATCAGTATTTGCGCTGATACGTCAGTGTCTAACATGACTCCACTCGCAGTGGCCCTTGTTCATCAAAGTTGCATATAAATGTGCTGGATCTGATCGTAAACTGACTGTACAAAAATTTAATGTCAGTTTTGTTAGGAGTTTCTTCTTTTGGCCTTATATGATCAAATTACGTCGGATAAGCTTGAGCGTAATATTTTAACAACTGGAGAAATGCTTGGTTTGCATTTCAATCAAATTATCTATCAATATTATAAAAAAATGGCAGAGAAAATATAAAATAATGAATGCTGTATGCACAGTTACCATTATTTGTACTAGATGTACTTTTTTTTTGCATGCACACTGAGATAAACACTGCAACTGTCCGTTTCGTGCAAAGACACGTTATGTTGGACTTTTGCTTTATGTCACTGATTCAGTAAATGACCACCAAAAAAATAGAAAACACGGCTAACCTAGAGTGATGGAAGCCATCACACCCTGCAGTAATACAGCTCAGACAGCCAGTACTTTAGGAATCTTTGTGCCGTCTTAAAGCACAGACGTGTTGTTCATTTCTCACTTCTTTTTGTCATTTTATTTTTAACACGAAAGCTGCCAATTAAGCTCTGATCAGTAGGGGGAGCTGTTTAACCGCAAACTCTGCTTGTGAGGATAACCATGGCTACTAAGCCTGCTGATTTTTTTTTTTTTTTAAATTGGCTCAGTGACTATTCAATGTTTAATTTTAAATACATTATTGAAATATTACTTTGCAAAGAAAAATAAGTGGAGGATGAAAAACTGCAGTAAACACTTCATTTCCAGTGATTCTCAGTCTGGGAGTCACAACTTGTCAGATGTTCGTTAAACATACATAGGCTTGTTCTGATGTGTCTTTAGAAAAAATCTTTTCCATTAAATCCCCACTATTTTGCAGATACATATTCTATAGCTTATTAGATTACTACAGAACGGCCCCATTCAGAGTATTTTTGCTTATTAATGTTAACCTGTAACGAAAACATCGCCTCATTCAGGATGACTGAGCTTGGGAGTTTACAGATATCCCTAAAATATGTAAAACCCCATATAATTCCAATTGAAGCCAAAATAAAGAGTGTTGTCTGTTCAAGGTCAGCAGTGGAGTGTTATTCCCTCCGTTCAGAAGCCGTTCTGTTAGTAACCAATTGGCACTGAACACTCCAGGATCTGCATAAATTAGGACATGATTCATGGTAATTATATGTACACTCTCAAAAAAGGTGGTGCTTCAAGGGTTCTTTAAATTAAATGGTTCTATATAGAACCTTGATCACTCAAAGAACCTTTTGCATGGTTAAATGGTTCTTCAGATTGATGGAGAATGTGCTGTAGAAGGTTCTATACAGCACCCAAAAGGGTTCTTCTGTTACGATGTCAAGCTTATAACAATAGGAACTCTTTTTGGGTGCTAAATAGAACTCTTTTGAAAGGTTCTGTACAGAACTATCTTCAGCACTTATCCCATCAATCTGAAGAACCGTTTCATGATGCAAAGAACCCTTGAATCATGCAAATGTAGTTCGATATGGAACCATTTTCTTTAAGAAACTTAGCACCATCTTTTCTGTTGCAGATAAAGCTTTAATAATGCAGTAGCGTTCAGGCTGTTGGGTCCTCACACTGAAACTGATTCACCACTGTTTACGTCGAGTTCTTCGTGTGTCACTCAGGCGTCAGGTCTGCACTCGTTTCTGTGCAGCTTTAATGAATGAGCGCCGCTGTCCGTTATTTTGTAAAGGAGGCACTAAAAGACTGTGTCGAGTCACCTGAATGTCCTGTTTAGTTAGTTAATTAATTATTTATGCATTAATTAGGCTCAGCCTAACCACTTAGCCCCTCTCACCCACCAACCGTTGTTTTTTAGGATTGGATTTTAGGCTTTTTAAAGATAACCCTATGGCTTTTTGGACGTGTACATCAGCCACCCAATTTGACACTCAAGGTATTTTGTGCTGCACACTGTGTGTGTTTGTAACACAGAAGATGATGTGCTGCCACCAGCTGGTCTGTGCATATTTAACCCTGCCTAGAGGAAACGGTTAGAGCATTAACGCAGACAGGAAACATAACTGCATGCTTTGGGTGTCTGAAAACTATGACTTGCTTCTGAATTCAGCTGCTTGTTTCAAAGGTTTGAAGTTTGTTTAGAGCTGATAACAGTTAGGCAGTTATAACATTTCAGTGTAACGTTTAATCAGACAGAATGTTCTCAGCAGGTAATTCTCATCTTTCATTCTGTTAAATATGTTAGTCCAGTGTAAGTGACTCTTTACTTACCAGGAACCTCCTCAAAATCTCTGAGCCATTACAGAAGATCAGTATTTATTGTCCATGAAGTGTCAAAGTAATATTAAAAACTACTAAAGTAGGCTTTAAAGTAGTGCAGAAACAAAGATTTATTTATATTTATGTATTCAGAATATGGAATAAAATGGCTTTGCATGCAGTAAAAGAAACATATTTACTTTACTTATTGCTATTATCAGTGCTTTAATGGCTTTTAAGTCAAAAGTATTAAAATGGTTAAACAAGACTATAAATGAGCTGTTTAAAGAAACAAACTCGAGTGTCTCGTCACTGTTGCTTTGACTTAAAACCCCAATTAGGATCATTTAACTATAAAATTACTTTGAAGTAATCTACATGCCTACTGTGATGAAATCAGATGTTTAAATTTGCGCGAATCATAAAAGGCTTTGCTCCCACCTTTTCGTCTTTTCTGCATTGAAAAATACAGAAAGGCGAAACTATCCTGATTGGGGTTTTACTCGTACTCAGCAAATGATCCTTCTAATGAGGTGCATGAAGGATTTTTGCATGCAGTTTTTGTCATGAATACTCATAAAACAATAATAGAGATGGTCTTTGTAATAATGCAGATACTAACTTAGTACAAAAATGGTAACACTTACTTGACATTACAGAAAGGTAGTTTATACTTCATTAAACGGTGAATGGAGCAATGGAAACACAACAGTGAAGGTATTTAGTGTTTTAAGTTAGTAGAAGCCTGTGGAGATTAGGCTGAGCTTTCTAATACTGCCTTTACGGTCATTCATGGAATCCAAAGAATGTCTCAGTTTTACCTAAAATATACAGTGTTCCTCAATTATCTTCATCACTGTATCAGAATACACTCACACACTGCACTTGTATTGATGAATGACCAATAATACGTCGTCATGGAAGCTCCAGCTTCTTCTGCAGGAGTGATTGATTACATATAGAAACACACCTTAATGCTTAAAGGCTGTAATTGTCAAGTAAAGTGTTACTGGAAAAAAGCTTAGTTTGAATATGCTTGTGTCCCAGTTTTTCATGGAATGCTTCCATTTCCAGAGTCTTTGCTTTTGTTTGTGCTGAAGTTCAGGTCTAATTCTTGTTTTTTCCTTCTAGTTCCTTCTCACACTCAGCCAGATGTACGAGATGCTGGAGACCAGAGTGACTCGGACATAGAAATTGTATTTGAACGACAGCCGACTAAGGAGCAGGCGGAGCTAGCCCGGAAGTTGATGCTACCACCTGCGTTCTTCACTTACAAAAACGAGCCAGGATACGTCAGCGATGACACTGACGGTAAGAATTTGCCGATTGATCTGTGGGTGGGTGTGTTGGGGGTCGACCGATTGTCGTCCTGACCGATAATTGGAGCCGACATTCAGCATTTTTCCTATTACCAGAATCGGCGCTTGAGCTTGCTTCCTCGCTGATTAAAGCACTTCTTGTATGCACATATCTGGTGCAACCATGATCATCAAAACACACTTCTGTCAAAGTCCTTGCCCACCGTTCTACTGGGGTCTCATTCACAGTTCTGTGTGTTTGGTTAGTGTAGGTTTATACACTTTTCCCAGTTGCACCCATTTATTGAAAACACTAGTTCTTTCCTTGTCATGCGGGGTTGCCAGATTTGCAGTTTTCCCAAAAATTCCTGTTAATCTGAAAGTGCAGTGTGGGCAGAAATTAGACCACTGCGGGTGTGTGTTTTGCTCGGACAGCTTCCTAAATGAACTGCAGCAGCGGGAAAAGGTTTGAAAATGAATCGTCTTATGAAGGTGTTGATCCTAGTTTTGAATAGCTGGCAACCCGTTCTGTTTCTGCGGCTCACTACAGCTCACACACCTCCTGTTCACACATACAGCAGCGAAGCAGCAAGAAAGTAAACATAGTCGCACGCTGTGACCACGGCAACGGTCCAGAGCTTTGAGTTTCTGTCCAATCAGAGTGAGACACCGTCTGCACCCTTTCAGATTTTTCGATGTACGCGACAAGGTCTGCGACCCCCCAGCAGACACAGACTGTCACTGTTTGACGAACGACACTCGTCTGGTCTGTAAATTGGTAAATAAAATAATTGGTTTTACCACCACTCAGTACAAGAATCGTCACCCATGGTCACCTCTGAACAAATGAACTCTCCTCTGATTGAAAAATAAATTAAATTATACTGCAGCTACTTTTGCTTTTACCAGGTTCTTGAAATGCGACTCTCATGCTTGTTTCTGTTCTGCAGATGAAGATTATGAAACTGCAGTGAGGAACCTGAAAGGAAGGCTGTACCCTGATTCTCCCAGACCTGACCAAGGTAAGGCATTAATTCGATGTGGGGAGTTCATGTGACCTACAGGGTGTTTCTGTTAATTTACCATTAAAAAGTTTCAGCTGCCTTTTACACTGTTTAATAGAAATTGTCCACAGTTACTTATGTTAATGCATTAGTGCCCATTAATGTAAAATTGATTCTTGAATATTTCTTAATAGAAATCAGAATTAAAATTAAACACATGAATAGAATTTGAAGTTTATATAGAATTAACTTGATAGAGGTGGGTAGAGTAGCCCAAATCAACACTTGAAAGTATTGATACTTGGGTAAAATAATGAAAGTGAAAGTGCCTTCAGATTTAATCAGCATGAGTAAAAGTACAAACAAAAGTATCAGGTCAAAAAACTACTGATTAACCTACAGAACTGCAGTGGAATTTCTGAGTAAATTCAGCATCTCCTGGCACAAAAACTGTTTTTTGTACGGCTTTTTTCCTTTTTAGATTTTTTTTTGGTCTTAAATAAAATGATAAAACTCCAAAATCAGAGATGTGATCAATCACAGAGCAAACAACAAAACAGAATGAACTTAAACACAAAAAAGGAATTAGTAACTAAATATGAACGGCTAAAATGTAATGGAGTGCAAAGTAGATTTCTTTACTCACTAACATACCTGAGTAGCTTTAAAAGTATACAGTTTGAAAATACCCAGAGTAAAAATTTTGCTGAAGTACCTGTTCTGGAGTGAGTGTAAATAGTCACAGCCGCCTCTGGACAGAAGCGGACAGAAGCGGTTCACTACAGAGTCGTCTGTAGTCACTGTGGGTGATTGTCTTTAAACTGTTTGTCTCGTAGTTCAATATGTATGATTTTTCACCAACACTGTCTCACAGCTCAGGCCAGTGGAGGTGTGAAAGACCCTGACTGTGTGCTGGTTTGGGAGAAGAAACCAACGCTGGAGGAGGAGAGACGAGCCAAGAGCCTTCAGCTCCCTCCCACCTTCTTCTGTGGGGCCGGTAGTGATACGGACACTGAGCCTGACAGGCCAGAGGATTTTGGAACGGAGCTACGAAAGGTGCAGCAAGCTCAGGTCAGCAGAAGAGCAGTTCAGGAGTTAAACGCCGTCGTAAAGCTACGTTTGGACGCTACGTATCGTTGCTGTTGGGCCTAAACCTTAAATATCCATTTTTGTCGTTTTTCATTTTTTGATGTGTCTAAATCTCATGATGAACGGACCAACAGAAATGATCCAAAATTACTTGGAAAAAGTATTTATTCAGTTACCTGCATTAAAAATTAAGAATGTTTTTCCTGTAATTTTTGGATGTACAAGGTTTTGTTTCAACAGCAGTGATATGCATCCTCTGGTTTTAACGTTACTGACATTACAGCGCTGATGCGGCACTATCAGTATTGTGCTTACTTAATGGTCTACGTCCTGCGGTGTTAAATTCACCACGGTACTTACTGGGACGACTGGTTTTATCAAGAGAGCTTTCAGTGGAACTTCATGTCATTTAAAAGCTACGTTTGAACAAGAGGATTACATGAACAGCTGAGCTTCAGTGTGGAACTACTGATGGCTTAAAGGTGTCAAACAAGAAGTTTGAGTTTAACGTAAAAAACCATTAAACTTTCGATAAACTTGATTGCACATCAAAAAAAAAAAAAAATAGGCATATACACCTATCTAAACTCCAGCTGCACTGCTGTGTCTGATCCACTCAGACCAGCACAACACACACTAACACACCACCACCACATCAGTGTTACTGCAGTGCTGAGAATGATCCACCACCCAAATAGTACCTGCTCTGTGAGGGTCCATGGGGGTCCTGACCACTGAAGAACAGGGTAAAAGGGGGCTAACAAAGTGTCAGAGAAACAGATGGACTACAGTCTGTAACTGTTGAACTACAAAGTGCACCTATATAGTAAGTGGAGCTGATAAAATGGACAATCAGCGTAGAAACAAGGAGGTGGTCAGAATGTTATGCCTGATCAGTGTGTGGATGTAGCAAAAATATTTATAAATATGAATGTAAATATGTACCCATCAGGCTCTCCTTCTCACCATAAGAGAGACTAGTATGAGAATTTAAGGTATGCATTAACACTGATTCATTGGGAAGTTGCAAGTGAGTTAATTGATTAATCCTGATAGCTCTAGAGTACATTAATCCCCTCTGACATTTAGTGCTGTTAGCAGAAGGTATCCTGACTGGTACTGGTTCCACCAGAAGGCTCTTGCCAGTAGAGCCTGGCTAATGAAGCGTCAGTGGTGCCGGAAAAATAGGCAGTTTCTTCACTGATGAGAAATACTAACATTTTTGACTTCAACCAAATGTAGAGCAACATAATCCAAGTTGGAACATTGACTGTGTTTCAGAGTGAATTAAACAGCCAGAAGGGGGCGTCCTCTAATGAAAGCCTCCCTAAGAGCAGTGATGCCAGCGCAGAACCCATCAAGGCCTCCTCAGTCCAGACTGCCATCGCTGATAATGGCTGCCCCATTGATCTCTCCACCAAGAGCCATGAAGCAGAAGCACCAGCTGACTCAAACACCAGCCAAGGTGAGCGGTTTTCCAATTCCTGCCTAAAGTCCTGTGAGGAATATTGACCAGTTACGGCGCCCATAACTGCCGTCAGTCCAGCTGTGCAGTTACCAGCTGTGACGGCTTCCCACTGGAGTCGTTTAACAGCAGTTAATGACTGTGATCTTTGTTCTGCTGTCTTCCCACCACAGATGCTCCTCCTGCTTTTACGTTTGGATCTGCAGTTGGATTTTCGTTTGCAGACTTGGCGAAGAATTCGGGTGAATTTGCCTTTGGGACAAAAGGTTAGAACTCACTACAGTTCTCTTGATTTCAGGAACATGTTTATTTAAAAGAGGCTTAAAACTGAATGTGTTGGATGTGTTAATTCAGACTTTATCTTAACCAGATTTTGCATCTATCTTATTATTAGAATGGAGTTCAGAATGCTTTCATTCTATTGTTTTTGTTTTCTTGCTTAAAACTGACCAATAAAACATTGTAGAATAGTATTTTCTAATTTGCTCTGAACTGTGGATGTTACAGATCAGCCACACAGCATTTTTCAGTTACAGAATAGTCTACAAAAATCGATGGGAAATATGGCTTGAAATTTACAAGGAGAAAGGCGGTCAGTCTGATTAAGATAAACAGACCAATGCTAATTGCACCTTTTAATTAAAAAATGGTGAGTTTATGGTGAGCTAATTATCTGATACCAAATTCAGTACATTATGGGTTTGACACTGTACAGTGCGTCTGGTGTGTGGTAGCAGTAAAGGTGCCGTATATGATTTCAATCCAAAAACTCTGTCAAATTTAATGAAATGTAATAAACAAGTAAATAAAGTGGTTCAGGACGAGGTACACAACACGATTCCAGCCAGTCAGCAACCGGGAGCGCTCATACTCATTCACAGGAGTTACATGCTGAACTCAACACATTGAGATTGAGAGAAGCAGCCAAAGAGGAGAAGATCTGAAGAACCAAGACTGACAAAGAAGTTCTTGGCTCAGGCAAGGGACCTATGAAAGTTTCTGAGGCTTCCTATTCACATTTTTTTTTTTGTTCCACCTTAAATCATGCAGCAGTTCCGTACTGGTGCCTGCTGCACCATTTAAGGTGGGACAGAAAAATCTGAAAAAGAAGCCGACTTCAGTTTCGCGAGTTGAAAGGCATGAAAAGGGAGGAGGAGGTCGTTCTTGCTCGATGGGTGGGGAGCATGAGCTTATTTTTTCAGTTTCACAGAATCAGTAGGTCAGTATTGTTTGTTTGCTAATGTTTGTGAAAGCAGCTGTTCAGCTTCACAGCAACAATTGTAGCAACAGTTACAACCCACAGCCTCGCTAACGTTAGCTATCTTACTTGCTCTGTCGTTGTTTGCTCTGTTATATTATGGTATTTGGCTGTAAATTGTTGCAAAAAAAAAATTGCCAGTCCAGTGTTGTTTGCCTCGGCAATGTGCGCCCATGAATTTTGGGTGTGGAGCTTCTGAAGGAGCAGTGAAGGGAGCGGGGTGTGTGCGTGCGCGTGCGTGTGCGTGCGCGTGTGCGTGCGCGCGTGTGCGTGCGCGTGTGTGTGCGTGTGTGCGTGCGCGTGCGTGTGTGCGTGCGCGTGCGTGTGTGCGTGCGTGTGTCTGTGTGTTCACCGTTGTGATCTAACCAGGCGTTCTCTACATTTTTCCGTAGATTCAAACTTCTCTTGGGCGAACGCTGGAGCCGCCGTCTTTAGCAGCGCCATGACAACACGGAATGAGGATGAGGAGGAGGGCAGTGATGATGATGCTTCTAACAATACAGACATCCATTTTGAGCCTATTGTTTCCCTGCCAGAGGTACCTTTATCTTTCAGTTGTCTTGTATCGACGCTCTCAAATTGTTCAATTCTTAAACGTGGAAGAAAAAAACATTAAATTAAATGAAACACAAGAACAGATGACCTTTTAAAATTGTTTGAAGAGGAGGCTTCCTGGGCTCAGAACCAGTTTGTTTGAGGTGCTCTTTGAATATTATAAACCAAAACAGGTCCAAGTCACTGCCTTTTTTAAGAAGTCTTTATTTTCATGGCAATGTCGTGTTAAACCTGCTGACTCCATGGTGAAGCCTTGTTGCCAAAACATGTCAGGTTCCCTGACAAAGGCTTGCTTTGAGGGAGTTTTTGAAAGGTTTAATATGACTTTGCCATGACAATAAAGGCTTTTTAATTCTTTTAAAAATAGAGTGCCTTGGAGTTTTGCTAGTTTTTAGATGACAAGCTTGTTTGACGAAGTGTTAAAAGGTCAGAGAAATCATAAGCAACACAAATATAATTTTAGAATTTGTGCTGCTTCAGGAACTGAGTTACAGGGTAGTGGTTGAACTCTTCCCTCTGAAATGGGACCCTCAAATAAAAAGAGCATCACTTCATTAACAGCTACCAGCGCTGCTCTGTAGGAGACCCTGCCAGTCTGCAGTGACAGCAGAGGAGGGTAAAGTTCAGCTCCTCACTGCTGGGCTTTAGTTACATTTAGGGCATCATATGACTTCAAAGAGGGGGGCAATTATTTATTATCACCCACCTCTAATTCTTCAGTGATATGAAGCTGAACTCAGATATTCTCCAGATTCTTGCTTGAATTTTCCCGTTCCACCTTAAATGGAGCAGCAGTTCTGACACTTGAGGTGCCAGAATGGAACTGCTGCATCTTCTAAGGTGGAACTTTAGCTACTGAGTCGTCAGCACTGCTAGTGAGATTATTTTAATTAATTTATTTATTTTTTTGTGCTTGTTATGAAGAAAACGACCATAATACACAAACAACATTAAACTATGATAATATGATGGTTATTGCAATTTTTATCAGAGAAAATTCTCACATTCGTGGGTTTCTTTGGTCTCTTGTTCTCCATCTCACCGGTTTTCTTTTTCTCGTAACTCTCTGTTTGGAGTCTCTGAAAAACCTGCTCGTGTAGCCCTAATACTGCACCCTCCCCCTCTATCTCAACAAGAATCAGGACACCCACCCCTAGATGTGAACACACAAAACAGAGGGGTAGGGCTGAGTGGTTGGGGCGAGGGCTGAAATGGGACAGGGCCAGAGTAACTCTGTGATCACCCCTACTTCAGGTTGAGGTGAAGTCTGGTGAGGAGGACGAGGAGATCCTCTTCAAAGAGAGGACGAAGCTGTACAGATGGGACCGTGATTTGAACCAGTGGAAAGAGCGCGGCGTCGGAGACATAAAGATCCTCTTCCATCCAGTAAAGAAGTGCTACCGTGTGCTCATGAGGCGCGAGCAGGTCTTAAAGGTGTGCGCCAACCACACCATCACCATGGCTATGGAGCTCAAACCAATGAACACCTCTTCCAACGCGCTGGTTTGGACAGCTAACGACTACGCAGGTAGACCCTTCACGACACAGTGAAACAGTATTGTCTCATCAGGGCGTTGCCACTCAGCCTGAATGATATGGACAAAATAGTGCAAATATTCCATATTGTGATTTTGTTGGTAGATATCGCAGCATGCCTTTACATTTCATTGAAACACATTGATGAACATGTAACATCGTTAAAAGAACGATTGATCCTTAATGTGGTCAGCCGGCCAAGACATTTTAGTGTTTTCCCTTCTCAATGTATCATTTGTTCATCATTTAATAAAGCAATAAGCCACGAGAGGCCATGTGTTATTTATATACATTCCTATATATATATATATATATATATATATATATATATATAATATATATATATATATATATATATATATATATATATATATATAGCGTTCCCAAGCAACCATGGACCACTGAACAAGAACGTTCAGTCGTCTGTCGCTGTGCGCTGCGGTCATTTCATGAACTTATTAACTCTTTTGTATAATAATGAACAAATGATATCACAGCACTGTTTAATGCAGAAACCTTCGCTTTCTAAGTATGTTTTCGTGTCAGTTACCATCGTGAGTCTTATTTAGCACCAATCCAGCGGCGCCCTCTTCTCACACTGGGCTGAGTCTCAAACGGCTCCCTGCTCCCTACATAGTGCACTACATAGGAGTTTAAATACTGGATCCTGCAGCCCAACAGAGCAAAATACAGCTAAGAAACAGTCATGTGGGACTCAGACTCATCCACACTCGATACATGATGCACTGTTTGACTGTAGAGGCTGGAATTTCAAAACTTTCATAGCAACTATTTAGGGAGTACTGAGCCATTTGGGATTCAGCCTGGGTATGACACGACTTCTGACTGAAGTCGTTTAGTTTAGTTCTAGATAAAAAATTAAGCTGTCAGCCTCTCAGTTTAAACAGAACTGGGTTCTTGGTGCACTCTGTGCTCCATGTGAGCAGCATGAGAGTCAAAGATTATTCATTAACAGCACAAGGGTTTTTCATGCCGTGGTGCAGTGATGGAGTTCAGTTGCTGGCGGTCAGTGTGTGTATCATAGATTTTACAACTGCTTTGAACGCAGCTCAGCCAATCAGAAGACCGGAAATATGTTTTATAATTAAAATCTTTATAATTTTATTCGTGATTAAAATGTCCCCCTTAACCTTACTCTGGTCTGTAGGCCAAAACATGGTGTCCAGAGTATTCTGATCTTTTTGCACTGGAGCTGTGAGTGAAATGGAACAGTAACACTAATAGAACATAAATATTTAGAGTGACTAACTAATTAGTGGGTTCTTGGTTTGCTTAGTCTTCTGCAGTAACAGTAATGTAAAGGTCAGTATCATTATAATGATTAACAGTTGATTTATTGTGTGCAGCCTTTAATTTTTAAGCTCTGTATTAAAAATCTTAATTTATGTTTTGAATGTATTTTTTTTTCCCTGTGTTGAACAGAAGGGGACGCTAAGGTGGAGCAGCTCGCTGCCAAGTTCAAAACCCCTGAACTCGCCGAATCCTTCAGGAAAGCCTTCACGGAATGTCAGAGCCGTTTGAGCCAGGCCGACGTCTCCCAGTCCTCCAGGGTGGCGGAGCTTTCTAGAGCGAGTAACCCTGTGGTCTTCTTCACTGTGGCTGCTGACGGTGAGGTTATTGGCAAGATCACCATGGAGCTGTTCGCCCACATCGTCCCGAAAACTGCAGAAAACTTCCGAGCTTTGTGCACTGGAGAGAAAGGCTTCGGATACCGCAACTCGGTTTTCCACAGGATAATCCCGGATTTCATGTGTCAGGTGAGGATTCGTCTGTGTTTGTGTTAAATCAGCAGAGACCGTTCAGTGGACAATTCAGCATAAGTAGTGTAAAGTAGTACTGGAGCTCTGCAGGTTGTATCTGGATCGCTGTTGTCAGAAGAAAACTTTATCTCCAAAATGGAAACTTACAGGAGAAGGAAAAACATACTTTACTTTTATTAAAAGTCAGTGGAACCAGAATTAATTTTCCTAGAACGTTTGGAGCTTTTCTGTTGGTCCATTCATCATGAAATGTTGGCACATTGTAAAGTTGGCATTTTGAAATTCTGTAAATAAAAAGTACAAAACAATAAAAAAGCCAAGCATCTCCATTTTTGCAAAGTTTACTTTTCTGCCTAATTTGTTCTCAGCAGCTACTCTTCATGATGATTGGATCAATAGAAAAACTCAGATTGTATCAAATAAAATCTCTTTACCTTACGTTAAAGAGAAGAACGCTCTTCCTCTCTCCTGTGACGTTACTATTTTGTAGGTACCTGTTTTTCTTTGGACCGAGACGACATAGTTAAGTAAACCTTAAAGAGCAGCGATGCGCAATGTGGAGCTGAACGATTGGGGAAAACAGCTATTGTGATTTTTCTGATCAGTATTGCAATTTAAATGCAGTAATTTTTCACTTTTTCTGGCATGAAACGCTGAGTGCATCAGACTACCAGTTAGCTGAGATGGTTGTGAATCTAACTGATGTACAGGCAGCTCAAAAGCTCTGTTATTAGTTTTTTTTTCCATTTATAACTTGAGACAACACTGTTTATGATGTATTACATGTAATAAAATTGCAGCTCTTGTGATTTAAAATTGCTCTTTTTTGTGATTCTGATATAAAAGTGATTAATCTTTAGAGTCTTTTACAGTGTAAACTGCAGATTATTAATCTATAATATTGAGTTAAATCTGCTTTGTGTGTTTAAAATGTTCAGAACATTTCATTAAATCACCCAAACGACGAGGTGTGAATCGTCTCTCCTGTAGCTGTGAATGAATGAAGGACAATACGAGTGTTGAACTCTGTGTTTGTGTGTCAGGGAGGCGACATCACCAACCAGGACGGCACCGGCGGAAAGTCCATCTACGGGGGCAAGTTTGAGGACGAGAACTTCGACGTGAGGCACACCGGGCCGGGCCTGCTGTCCATGGCCAACCGCGGCAGAGACACTAACAACTCCCAGTTCTTCATCACCCTCAAAAAGGCCGAGCACCTGGACTTCAAGCACGTTGCGTTCGGCTTCGTCAGAGACGGCGCGGACGTGGTGAAGCGGATGGGAGAGCTCGGATCTAAAAGCGGCAAACCCAGCAGAACCATCACAGTGGTAGACTGTGGACAGCTGTGATTCTGCTCTCCGGGCACTTCAGAGGTTCTTTCATGTTCTGCCTGCGTTTCTGTGGTTCCTCAGCTGTGAATCCCTCCCGGTCAGGCGTGTCGGAGGGATGACCAAAGCGGATCGTTCTGAAGCCTCTTTCTCGTTTGCTGTGTGTCCTATTTTTGTTGTTTGTTTGTTTGTTTGTTGTTGTTTGTTTGTGTGTGAAAGCGCTGCTGAAATCTTCACTCCGACTCTAACAGGAGTGCTGAGTGTAAAACTGCAGCTTTCTGTCTCTGATGGTCTGTTTAATAACTCAGATGTGAAGATTGTGAAGGTGACGGTGTTGCAGAGCGAAACCTTCTCACTGATCCTCCCCACCTCATCAGCGCCGCTGACCCCAACAGCGTAATTAGGTCCAAACTCCAGGGTTTGTAGCGTTTCCGTCTGCATGGATTGTAATAAACCTGTTTTGGATGATGGAGCCTTGGTTTAATAACAGATTAATAACAGCTTATTCCTTCACTGCTTGTCCTTCATCCCAGTGATTTTCCTCTAAAATGTGCAGGGAATTCCCAAATCCCAGGACTGTGTAACAGAAACTCTGCTGATTAGGTTCACTTTTCCATTCACACTCGTGGATGAAGCAGTGAGGAATGTCTATCGTCTTAATCAGTGACTGTGTGTGTTTTTACTCTGTAGAGAGTTCTGGTAATTATGCTTTTTACAGCATTTAAATGATGGAGATTCTACATTTCCCCCTTTTTGCCTATTAAAAGTTCAACGTTTAACGAGTCTTTGTGTTTTTTTTCCCTCAGATGTTTATAAACGAGTTTGCTGAGATGATCTGATACCAAACAGCTGATTATTCAGGGGCTAATAAAGAAAAACATCAGGACTAGTTTCAGCATCAGATCCAGCCACTCAGACACAGCGTCTGATTTATACTGTATGATTAACATTAATAATAATACTATAAATATATTTATAGAGCACTTTTTATACCAGCGGCAGCTCAGAGTGCTTTACAGACAGCTGATAAAGCTTTACAGTAAAATAAGAAAATGAGTTAATTTAACCTCATATCAGACAATAACAGATCAGATTAAAGATCAAAGAGCCGTAGAGTTTAATGAAGCTCCGAGTTAAAGAGTCGTAGAGTTTACTGAAGCTCTGAGTTAAAGAGTCGTAGAGTTTACTGAAGCTCTGAGTTAAAGAGCCGTAGAGTTTTACTGAAGCTCTGAGTTAAAGAGTCGTAGAGTTTTACTGAAGCTCTGAGTTAAAGAGTCGTAGAGTTTAATGAAGCTCTGAGTTAAAGAGTCGTAGAGTTTTACTGAAGCTCTGAGTTAAAGAGTCGTAGAGTTTAATGAAGCTCTGAGTTAAAGAGTCGTAGAGTTTTACTGAAGCTCCGAGTTAAAGAGTCGTAGAGTTTAACTGAAGCTCCGAGTTAAAGAGTCGTAGAGTTTAATGAAGCTCTGAGTTAAAGAGTCGTAGAGTTTTACTGAAGCTCCGAGTTAAAGAGTCGTAGAGTTTAACTGAAGCTCTGAGTTAAAGAGTCGTAGAGTTTAATGAAGCTCCGAGTTAAAGAGTCGTAGAGTTTAACTGAAGCTCCGAGTTAAAGAGTCGTAGAGTTTAATGAAGCTCTGAGTTAAAGAGCTGTAGAGTTTTACTGAAGCTCCGAGTTAAAGAGCCGTAGAGTTTAACTGAAGCTCCGAGTTAAAGAGTCGTAGAGTTTAACTGAAGCTCCGAGTTAAAGAGTCGTAGAGTTTAATGAAGCTCCGAGTTAAAGAGTCGTAGAGTTTAATGAAGCTCTGAGTTAAAGAGCCGTAGAGTTTTACTGAAGCTCTGAGTTAAAGAGTCGTAGAGTTTTACTGAAGCTCTGAGTTAAAGAGTCGTAGAGTTTTACTGAAGCTCCGAGTTAAAGAGTTGTAGAGTTTTACTGAAGCTCCGAGTTAAAGAGTCGTAGAGTTTTACTGAAGCTCCGAGTTAAAGAGTCGTAGAGTTTAATGAAGCTCTGAGTTAAAGAGTCGTAGAGTTTTACTGAAGCTCTGAGTTAAAGAGTCGTAGAGTTTTACTGAAGCTCTGAGTTAAAGAGTCGCAGAGTTTTACTGAAGCTCTGAGTTAAAGAGTCGTAGAGTTTTACTGAAGCTCCGAGTTAAAGAGTCGTAGAGTTTAATGAAGCTCCGAGTTAAAGAGTCGTAGAGTTTAATGAAGCTCTGAGTTAAAGAGTCGTAGAGTTTTACTGAAGCTCTGAGTTAAAGAGTCGCAGAGTTTTACTGAAGCTCCGAGTTAAAGAGTCGTAGAGTTTAATGAAGCTCTGAGTTAAAGAGTCGTAGAGTTTAATGAAGCTCTGAGTTAAAGAGTCGTAGAGTTTAATGAAGCTCTGAGTTAAAGAGCTGCGTTTTCAGATGTTTATTAAAAGTGAGCTCTGAGCTCGACTGTCTAATGAGTTAAGTCAGACAGTCAGACCCTTTTTCTCTCAAAACTAATAGCGCCCCCTTTTGGACGAGCTCTAAATGTTTAATATGCTGCTGAGTCAAACCTGTTTAATCTGAAAATGGTCACTGGAGGGCAGCAGAGTTTGGATGAGTCCATAAAACAGCTTTAAAGCAGCAGCCTGATCCACTCAAACACCCACTGATCTTTATTATTCAATCAGAATATGAACATACAAATATGATGACAGCGTCAATCAGAGACACCAACAATAAAAGAAAAACAAACAGAAAAACACAAACAGCTCAGATCATCACCAGACAGACACATTATACAGGAATATCAAAGGACCTAAATTCAGTGTTCTGACAGTGTTTTTAATGCTAGAACCAGTAACTGTTTGTCTTGTTTGGCTTCATTAACAAATAAAATAAAAAGAGGCTTTTGATTTGGATATTTACATTTATGAATATGGAATTCAGCAATAAAATAAAACTGATTATATAATATTTATCTGCCCTGTTTTGGATCTTTATAAAACCAAACATGTTCAAAACATAAATGTTTCGGAATGTTTCGCCTGCATTACTTAACATTTTATACATTTTAATATCTCAGTGTATTAAAAAATGCAGATAAACCTTCTACAAATGTGTTTGAGCAGCTCAGTAAGATCTCAGATGATCTGAGCTGCAGTGACTGAACAGCTCTTATAACTGCAGATCATTTCAGTATTAATCAGTGTTTCAGTGCTGATCCACACAAAGACTGAATGAGCTCTAACTGAGCTGATTCACTGATACACTAAACTGCACTGCTGACATTTTCACAGGGGTGATAGAAAAGTTACAGAACAGTGGAAACACTCTCTCAGTGAATGTGTGTGTAAAAGTGTGTAAGTGTTTTTTAGTGAGAGGATCAGAGAGTGAGAGTTTTCCTCTGTCCCAGTCCAGCTGCACTCGGACCCTCCACACTGTCTGACCTACTGAGAGGAGAGTGGGTGGCTGTGGTGAAGAACAGGCTCTATATTTACCACCGTAATACAACACACTCCAAACTCCACTCCTGGAGTATATCCTTCCCTTCCTCTGAGCCGACTCTGTCATCACACCCAGTACCCAGTATTTACTGTCTCCAACTTCAACATCCCAGCAGTGAGTTCCTGAGTTGAAGCCCTCAGAGCCCAGAACACATTCATATCTATCAAATCTCTCTGGATTATCAGGAAGCTGCAGTTTCTCTTTAGTGTATCTCAGACTGGTCAGATCATCAGACAGGATGAGATTAGGGTGAGCAGTGTTGGGGTCCAGAGTTACAGGAGCTGAAGAAGAAATACACACATATAATTTACACAGAAATAAAAATACATCATGAATTTAATCAAACACTGTAAAACAAATCCCTCTTTAAATGTACAGTAACTCACTGGCAGCAGAGCTTTCAGGTATTTACTGTCATTAATATTTCACCAACATCAAATATCTCATAATGACCATCATGGCCAGGTCTATGGTCAGGGAGACGTGGGTGACCACGCTGGGGCTCTGAGAGCTGAAGGGTCTTTAGTTTATACAGGAAAAACACACTGAATGGAGTGATTTACTGAAAAACACTCACAGCAACACTTACTGACCAGCACATTCACACAAACACACACACCCAGACTGACCACAGCTCTGCCCACTGAAACACACAGCAGTGTTTCTGTAGCTGCGTTTCTGAACAGAATCAAATCTGATTGGTTTTCTGTCAGAGGGTCATTGTATTGTGTCCAGTTAAGATCTTGATGCTCTCCGTGTCGTTTCTGATGGTGTGAGGGGTCCCGCCTTATTTTCGTTTCTTAGCCCCCCAAACACTGTTTACCATCTGCTGCTATCTGCCGTCACCTCAGTCCAGCTTCAGCAGGTCCTGACAGAGTGGACGCTGCTGTTTTCCACCCATTTCCAGACACAAATACTCATTTAAAGACCGTCAGCTCATGTTTACAGACGTGTCTGTGTCAGTGTCTCCAGTGGTTTGTGAACTTGGTGTGTATCAGCTCTTTTACTGATGCTGAGAAAGCGAGCGGCTCATTCTGAGCACAGAGTCCTCAAAGGTAAGATAGTGATCCATAACCAGTTTTCATTCCTCTGTGAGCTTTAGTTTAGGATGGTTTGTGTTTTAGGCTCTGAAATTTCCTCATAAGTGGACGCTGATTTATAGGGAAGAGACTTTTACTTTATTCTGTTTTCTCCATGTGGACTCGCCTCCTGTTGTATCGATATGAGAAACATTAAAGCTCAGTTACACTGTAACTAATTTATACTGTCTGGCTTTAAATTGATCAAAGCTCCTGTTGTGAAGCTGTGAGATCAGAGGAAAGACGACTTCCTGCAGCTGTGATGCTGCGTTTATCAGTTACATCACATTTATACACCAATGAAAAGAGTCGCTGGACAAACAGTTACATCAACCTGACCTGACGCTTCAGTAATGATCTAATGTATCCCTTCAGTTACTGTAATACCTGCTTTATTATCACATACTGGTTACAGTGGATGTTCACAACGTGTGTGTGAGCTGATGGGGGGGGTGACTGTAGTGGGAGGAGGAGGATGGGGGGGCTTAGAGCATCAACACCCAGGGGTCTGTGGGGGTCTTAATCCCAGCTTGACAAAACATGAGAAAAGAATAAAAGAATGATAGATAGAGAGAAAAAGTGAGACTCACTGAAGTGAACGATCTGCTGCATCTTCTCCCAGACGGTGAACTTCAGGTTGGCCAGATGTTTGGCCACATGGAGCAGCGCTCCTGAAAGGCTCTCTGGATCCTGCAGTGTGAGCTGAGCTCTGGAAGAACATTCAGGACTCAGTGCTGCTGAAGCTTTGAGTTCAGAACCACAGAAAAGAGAGAGACGGCAGACAGTAACACTCACCTTTTCACTGTGGCCTTGTAGTTCTGTAAAACAGTGAGAGTGGATCAGTGACTCTGCTCTCCATTCAGTCATGGGCTTATTTTTATTTACTGAATAAACAATTTCACACAGTGGAAACACCACAGGGGTCATATGTGTCAGATATACGTAGAATCCCACTAAAGCGATAAACATCTCTAATGTCTGTACGAATGTTACACACACCTGTTTCTCATCATAAATCAGATCAAAGACTAATATTTTAGAAAACAGTCATAATTAACCCTTTAATAGCCTTTACTCCACTTGTAAAGCTGCTGCTGTTCAACAGATCAAACGTGTTGTGATATGTTTATCTGTGAATATTCAGATTTATTTTTACACATTTCTCTACTCAGTGAACTCATAACACATAATTATGTAGTGAAAAGTCTGTTGTTGGTTTTCCTGCTTTGTTGGATT